CCATCCCCCCTTTGGCCGCCTGCCCCGCTCCCCCTCTCCCACACAGCCATCTCCTTCTACCAGGAGGCCCTGCGCATGGACCCGGACCATGCGCGCTCGCGCACCGCCCTGCGCGCCCTGCGTGACCTGCAGAAGCTCCGCAACGAAGGCAATGCCGCCTACAAGGAGAAGCGCTACGCCCAGGCGGTGGACATCTACACCACGGCCCTGGCCAGCGAGGCCGAGAGCAGCTACCTCCGGTCGCGCATCTTCTCCAACCGCGCCCTGTCGCACATGCAGCTCGGGGCCTTCACCAAGGCCGTCAGTGACTTCACCTCCTGCCTGGCCCTGGACCCGGATTTCGTCAAGGCCCTGAAGAACCGCGCCGAGTGCTACATCAAGCTGGAGGACTACTCCAACGCGGTGCAGGACTACCAGAAGGCCATCTCGCTGGGCGGGCAGCATGACCGCGAGCTGCAGAGCGGCCTGCGCGAGGCGCAGCGCCTCCTGCGCAAGGCCTCCCGCAAGGATTACTACAAGATCATGGAGGTCGACCGCAATGCCTCGGCCGATGACATCAAGCGGGCCTACCGCCGCCAGGCCCTGCTCCTGCACCCGGATAAGAACATTGACAACCCGGACGCCGAGCGCCGCTTCAAGGAGCTGGTCGAGGCCAATGAGGTCCTCTCGGACCCGGCCAAGCGCCGGCGCTACGACAGCGGCGCCGACGACATGATGGATGTCGATGACTTCGGCCCCGGGGGCCATGGCGGCGGCCACCCCTTCCACCCGGGCGCCGGGGTGTTCAGCTTCTCCTCTGGCGGGGGCTTCCCCGGCGGCTTCCCCGGTGGCTTTGCCGGCGGCGGCTTCCCCCAGGGGGCCAATGTCCGCATGTCCGGCGGCTTCCCCGAGGGCATGGACTTCAGCAGCTTCTTCATGCCGGAGATGGGCGGCGGCGGTGGCGGCGACTTCAGCTCCTTCTTCTCCGCGCGGGGGGGCGGCCATCCGGGCCAGGGCCAGCGCCGCCGGCCGGGTGGCAATGCCCGCTAAGGGCCGGCCTATCGCCTTCCCGAGGGCTCGGCGTGCCGTGGTTTCCGGCCCCTCGCCCTCGCCTCCCCCCCCCCCTCCTCCTCTCTCCCTCCCCCTCTCTTTTCTGTCTCCACCCCCCCCCCCCCCGTGTTCCAGTGTATGCCTCCCAATTTTTATTTTCATAGGGACGCGTGTCGTGTCGCGTACTAGTCGGCGCATGTGCATGGCATGGCCAGGACATGGCCATGTGTGCCCCTGCTTTGCCGCTCGCGCTTGCGATGCACCCGCGCCCGCGCAGCCTGTCTAGATCCCGCGAGCCGGGGAGAGAGACCTCCATGTGCGCCACACCGTGCGCACGTATCCCCGGCTGGCGAAGGCGCGCACAGCACCCCTCTCCCCCTCCTCCCCCTGCCCCCCCCCCCCCCCCTTGTCCTTGAGAAATACCACAATATGCTCCCCCCTCTCCTCTCACTGCACACCTGCCCGGCATTTGGCGCTGTTACGATGTTCAATGCGCTTTTTCCTCAACGCGCGCCCCCGCCCCCATGCCCACCTACGCCAGCCGCACGTGTGTGCGGAGCCCTTCCTTGTGTCAGGACGTGCCACAACTGTATTTGTTTCCCGCTCCTGGAGGAGAGAAAGATGGCATCACCAACACCCGCGTCCTCCAGGGGCGTACCCCCACCACCGGCGCCGGGGAGGGGGGGGGGGGGGGGGGCCTATCATGGCGTCTCGGTCGGCCATTTGCCGCCAGCCGTCAGGGCCAGCGTGTCGTGGATGTCCAATCGGTAGCCGCTGGCCAGGGGGAGGGGGTTGCTCGGGGTCACACAAGTGAGGTCCACCTCCTTACGCAGGACATGGTCCACATCCACCGCGCTGAAGAACGCCACCGACTGGGCAACATGGGGGATTGCCCCCGGTTTGCCGCCGGCAGCGAGCGAAAAGAAGGGCCCCAAGCAATGGGTCAGTCGCGGAAAGGGGGGAGGAGGCAGTGCATCGTCGCGACCAACGGGCCACCACACATGGGGCCAACGGGGACCGCGTACCTGAGGCAAGTCCGGCATGCCGACGCTCTCGGCGAACATGGCCCGCGTGAGGAGGTTGCTGATTTGCAGCGCCAGCGACACCTGCGGGGCATACTCCTCGCGTGTCATGAGGCGCACTTCATCATGGATGGAGATGATGAAGCGAGTGGACCGCTCCAGGTCGCCGCCGTGCATGCGCAACAGCCAGCGCATGCACGTCAGCAGCATGTGCAAATAGTCCACACCGGAGGATTGGACCACCCAATTCACGCGCGAGGTCATGAAGTTCGTGCCCACCGTGCTCGGGTGCAGTGCGTCCGAGATGGCGCAGCCAAGAGTCGGCGTCCGGGGGTTGCGCGACGTGGCAATGCGCTCCAGGGCATTGAACATGAAGGATTCCGTGCCGCCGTGCCAGACGGTCTTGGTGGTGGCATGGCGCTTCCGCCAGGTGCCGGGACGAGTGGCTGGCTGGTTGTTGGCCGGCTGCCGGCTGCCCTTGGTTTGCCGATACAGCTCGAAGGCCCGGCGAGAGGCCTCTTCGTATGTGAGGCTCTTGTTGAATTGCAGCATCAGCTGGATGGCGTGCCTGTGCAGATGGCCGGCAAGGGGCCAGGAGAGAAGGAGGGGAGGACAGACGAGCGAGGTGGAGAGGGGGAGACAGAGACGGAGACATAGGCGAAGAAGGAGATGGAAAAAGAGGCGAAGAAGGAGATGGAACGAAGAAGGAAAAAGAGGCGAAGAAGGAGATGGAAAAAGAGGCGGGAGATGGAAAAGGAGGCGGGAGATGGAAAAGGAGGCGGGAGATGGAAAAGGAGGCGGGAGATGGAAAAGGAGGCGGGAGATGGAAAAGGAGGCGGGACATGGAAAAGGAGGCGAAGAAGGAGATGGAGACACAGGCGAAGGGGGAGATGGAGAAAGGATGGGGAAGGAGAGACGGTAAGCATGACAAGCATTTGTAATCAGCCCACGATCGAAGCAACAGACCGCCCAAGGGACAGCCACCCGCCGGCCCGGGGCCCCTTCAAGAGCGTACTTCTGCCCAGCCCCATAGATTCGGCTGTAGTTGAAGACCTTGGCATGGTCGCGGCTGATGCCGAGAATTTCGGCCGTGCGGCTGTGCAAATCGGTCCCCGCCTTGCGGCTTCCCTGCAAGGTCATCCACCCGAAGGCCGTGGACCCATGGATGCCGAGCGACGCGTCGCCCAGCAGGGCCGAGATCCAGAGCTCCTGGCTGTCGACGTCGGCCCCGACAAAGACGTAGCCCGGCGGGGCGCGCACCGTGGCCTTCAGCTCCGATGCCAGCAGGCCCGGGCGCGGGTTGCTGGCCGTCATCCAGGTCGGCTCGACCGCCCGCCGGGTCACCGTGCCGGCGGTGACAACCTTCGGGATGATGGCACCCAGCCGGTAGCCATCCCGGCCACGCGTGGCCGACGTCCAGGCCGTTGGGCCGGAGGCCGGGTGGTCTTCCGCCGCGGCCGGCACGCCAGACCCCAGGGGCAGATCGGCCAGCGCGGCCTGCCGATCGGCCTCTGTCATGGCCGGGCCCCGGGGGTCGTCCTCTCCCTGGCGCGGCGCCAGCAGCCTCCCGGCCATCGGGTACCCCTGGGCCCAGCCCTGCAAGCCGGGCTCCTCGGCGTACGCCACAAATTGCTGGAAGACCCGCGACCGAGCGGACATCCAGTACGAGCAGACGGAATTCGACCGGAGCACCTCCCGCGCCACCGGGTACACCGATGTCAGGAGCCCGGTCTCGATGGCCGACAGGTAGTCTTTGGAGAGGGGATTCCCGCACCGGGCGTCCGGGCCATCCTTGTGCGGGATCGGGAAGAAGCATTCCGATTTCGGGTCGTCCGGGTCCAGGGGAAGCGGCGAGGCATTGGACTGGATGCTGTCCACCTTGTCGCTGTGTGTGTGTGTGTGTGTGTGTGTGTGTGTGTGTGTGTGTGTGTGTGCGTGCGTGTGTGTGAGGGGGGGGGGAAGGCGAGGGGAGGGCGCGGTGGGTGAGCAGGGCGGGCAAAGCCGAAGGACAAAGGCGGGAGCGGCCCCCGAGGCGGCCCATCGAAAAGCGAGCAGCTCAATGTACAACGGGAGCAGCCACCAGGGCAGGGGGAGAGGTGGGAAAAGGAGAAAGAGGAGGAAAAGAAAGGAGCCCAACAGGGAGGGCTCATCTCACACGCACTACGGCACAATGAAACCCCACCCCTGGTCCGGGACATAGTGCAGCGGGAACCCCTGCCACTGGAGCTTCAGCAGGTACGGCGTAATGCGCGTTCGGGTGGTCACACGCGGCTCCGGCTCCGACGAGGGGCACAGCTCCCGGAACCAGCTGGGGTAGCCGGGAAGGCGCTGCCGAGACACCGGGCGCGGCTCGCCGCCCTTGGCATACGAGCCGTCCTTCTTGTACTTGGGTTTGGTCATGCGCAGGGGGTTGGGCGTCCAGTCGAGGCGCTTCAGCCAGGGATCCTTGCTGGCGGCCGACCGGGCAAAGGCCTCCTGCCACTCGGCCGAGTTCTCCCCCTCCAGCAGGGCCTCAGGCGAATAGGGCCCCTCGGGCATCATGAGCGGCGGCCCGGCGGCCAGAGACTCATCCAGCAGCCGATACAGCCCGGTGGCCGACTGCTTTTGCATATCCACCAGCCGAGACTCGGCCGAGGCCTTAAACCTGGCGCAACCCGGGACAAGCGAGCGCACACGTCAGAGCCCAAAGCAAGAGCCCCGACCATGGCAGGCGAGAGAGCCGGGGCGGGTGGCTGCATGACATCCGTCCCCCCCCCCCCCCCCCCTTCCCACCCCGTCCCGCCACCTCATGACACGTACTCTTCCCAGTTCTCCGTCACCGGCAGGTAGCACTTGCCCATCTCCACCATGCCCACCAGGGAAATCGGATGCGGGCACTTGGCTTGGAACCGGGGGAAGACCGCCTGAAAGACAGCCAGCGTGGCCAGGACATCGCCGGCCGTGTAGGCCAGCAGGGCCGGCACATCGACCGCCTTGCGCAGGGCCTCCAGTGAGTCCATCAGGAAGTAGTTCCGGTCGCTCTTGTCCAGCTCCCCGCCGACGTAGAACCGATACACATCGACCAGGCTGTTGGCCGAGCCGGAGCCCTTCCAGTCTGTCTGCGAATCGTGCGTCGAAAAGAGCATCGAGTGCAGGGCCTCCTCCTCGGCCTCTTCCGGCGAGCTGAACACCGGGTCGGGCTCATTCCGATGGCGCTTCCACTGGGCGCGCTGCAGGCTGGTCAGCCCGGCCACCGCCATATGCAGACTCATGGTGTCCAGGTACACGTCCTCCGAGGGGGTGAGGTGATACTCCTCCAGCACGCGGGCTCGATCGAAGCCGACGTTGTGCCCGACAAGCAGTCGCGGGCCGTCGCCCGGGGCCGGGCCGATGGGGAGAAGCTGCGAAGAAAAGGGTGTGAGCATATCGGCCGGCGCTGTGAAGCCGGGCCGGGCCGGGCCGGGCCGAGCCGGGCCGGGCCGCGCGACGCGGTGCCGCATGGCAGGGCACCCAAAAAGCCCCGGAGGCCAAGCATACGAGGACATACCTCCGGCGGCGACTGGCCGACATCCAGGAAGCGATTCGAAAGCCACGTAAACCACCCGAGCCCTGGACTCAGGGCAGCCACCACAATCGGATGGGGCGAGTCTGCCGGGCATACCTCCACATCGAAGACCAGCGACGAGGGGAGCGGGTCCTAATCGGGGGGGGGGGGGCGGGGGGAGTCGACAGTCGAGTCAGTGGATGGCCACCGGGGAAGAGGGCTCCATCGTGAGACCCCGGCCAGAGTAGTCGCACCGTGTAAGGGACTCCCTCACCGATGGTGTCCGTGTTGCCATCCTTGATGAAGGGGTAGAAGGACCATCCTGGGGCCACGCGCCAGGTCGATGGAAAGGGAATGGAGGAGGCCGGTCGCTCGAGGAGCAGGGACACCCGATCCAACACGGGGGCCGCTTGCTGCTGACCAATCTGCACGGAGCGGCGGCGACATGGTCAGGAAGAGGACTGATGCATCTGTCCTTATGGGTGCATGTGTGTGTGTGTCTGTACGCGTGCGCGTGCGCGTGCGCGTGCATGAGGACAGGTGCGCGCCC